CTGCGACAAGCAAGCTGCCTATGGGAGAGGGGCATGCGCTTCGCTGTTCGTGAAGTTTTTGTTTTCATTGTTTCTGCTTTGTTATGCAGTATTTGACAAAATCATTTTTATCTGAGTAAAAAGCAAAGAAAAATTAGGAAACCTTCCGTGAACCTCTTACTGTTGAGATAGTATAGTAGATGCTCAGGTGAGATAATGGAGCTTGAAAAAGAGCAGGCAGCTATTTGCGTTGGGATGAAATCATGTCTACCAAGGAGGGGAATAAATAAGGACACACTCACATCTCTGTCTGAAACTGCAGTAGCCAGCTCCAGCTGTTTCATTCACTTGTGCACAACATTGCAATACTGATCTCCACTTTGTTTACTCCAAAAAAGAAGTTAGAAGTGCTAGCACCTCTGACTAGCACAAAACTAGTGCAACGGCCCTGTAGAAGATGCACAGGGCTACTCTGCTCTCTCCAGATCCCATGGGCAGAGAGGCATAAGGAGTGGATAACGCTGTGATGGCAGTAATGGGAATAACAGACCATTATACACCAATAGCCTTTCCTCGCTCAAAACTAGTCCAGGATGAGATAGAATGATTACCACCAAAGCAGGCGGCCTCCAGCTCACACTGCAGACGACAGCAAGTCTGAACGCACTGCCAAGTGGTTTGCAATTAAATGACACAAATCAGTAAAGAAAAGTTTTTTTCCCCTTCTCTCTGAAAATGCCCTAAGTGTTGGGCCCTTTCCTTACAGAAGACAGGACTTCCTGTGCCTGGTTAAGCTGACTTACTGCTGAAGCGATGGGACAAATCCCTATTGCTTAGCACCAACATTTCATAGTGGCAGTAAGAAGCATAATTTTCATGTACATTTAATGAGAAAAGAAAATGATAAACAAACTTCAGATCGTATGGTTTTTCCGATGAAAAATAGAAGGGTATTGAAAGAAATAAATCTTGGAATGTTTTGACATTTTCAGGGAACTACACAACAAAAAGAAGTGCTCAATTTCACAGTGCACAAAGAAAGTGGGCTGGCTGATCTCTCTGGCATAAATCTGAAATAGCATCATTTTAAGTAATGGCATTAAACCACTATAAAAACTAGCAAGAGTTAAGTTCAAAGACTATAACAGAAGACTCTGCTCCTATCACAAAGGAAAAAGCTATTATTTAGAAAAAAACCACAAACTTTTTCCTCTGAAATATCTTACACTGGTGAAAAAAAAAAAACAAAGTAAACAAAATCTTTGCATTTCTTTTAAACATTCAGAAGAAAAACTGAAGCTATATGTTTCATTAGTATCCGTCTGGACATGCGTAGAGCTATTATTATGCCAGTAAGAGCTTACCAGCCTGTATTTTAACAAGTTTTCATTTATTTGCTATTTAAATACACTTCTGTATGTAACCTTCTTCTACATGCATGGTAACATTAATAAAAAACAGGTAATTATTTTATCAATTTTTCATTCAGGACAATATCTAAATCTATAGCATTAAACACTAGCACATTGCTGAATTAAGACAGGATGGTTCTACTTTTCAGATTAGAAGAAAGGGAATAAAATAACACACACTTAATATCTGGCACTGTGCAAATTCAGAGCTACTTTGCATATGTTCGTTCAATCTCAGGCTCAAAACAGTATTCACCGTGCAGAGAACTAAGCAAGCAGAATTGCATGACAGAGAAATTAAGCAAAGGGTAGAAAGGCTCTACAGAGGGATCTGGGCAGGCTGGATTGATGGGCTGAGACCAGTTGTATGATGTTCAGCAAGGCTAAGGGCTGGGTCCTGTACTTGGGTCTCAACAACCCCATGCAACGCTACAGGCTTGGGGAAGAGTGACTGGAAAGTGCCCAGCAGAAAAGCACCTGGGGGTGTTGGTCAACAGCCGGCTGAATATAAGCCAACAGTATGCCCAGGTGGCCAAGAAGGCCAATAGCATCCTGGCTTGTATCAGAAATAGTGTGGCCAGCAGGAGTAGGGAAGTGATTGTCCCCCTGTACTTGGTACTGGTGAGGCTGCACCTCGAACACTGTGTTCAGTTTTGGGCCCCTCACTACAAGAAAGACACTGAGGTGCTGAAGCATGTCCAAAGACCAACAAAGCTGGTGAAGGGTCTAGAGCACAAGCCTTATGAGGAGTGGTTGAGGGAACTGGGATTGTTTAGCCTAAAGAAAAGGAGGCTGAGGGAAGACCTATCGCTCTCTACAGCTGTCTGAAAGGAGGTGAGGTTGTAGCAAGGTGGCTGTTGGTCTCCTCTCCCAAGTTCCAAATGATAGAACAAGAGGAAATGGCTTCGAGTTGTGCCAGGAGAGGCTTAAATTGGGTATTACGAAAAATTTCTTTACCAAGAGAGTTGTCAAGCATTGGAATAGGCTGCCAAGGAAGTGGTTGAGTCACCATCCCTAGAGGTATTTAAAAGATATGTAGAAATGGCACTTAGGGACACGGTTTAGTGGTGGACTTGGCAGTGTTAGGTTTACAGTTGGACTCAATGGTCTTAAAAGTCTTTTCCAACCTAAACGATTCTATGATTCTAAATACCTTGGCCTACACTCCCTAAGTATGCTTTCGCTTACCAGAGCACTGGCATGATTCTGTGGTGAAAGATTCTCAGATGGGGCTAGATGATTCTGGCTTGTGGGAAAAAGAGTTACTTTCAGTGGCACTGCCCAAACACAAGTGTTAACTTCCTGGACCCCACAAAGTTCCAGACTCTGCTGTTTCATAATGTTTGCAAAGCTGCCTCATCTGACTTCCTGGGGAAATATTGCTGGAGTTCCTGAACAGTTTCAGTTGGCAATTTCCCTTTCTCACTCCAAATATTTTTGTTGTCACAAGGCAGTTGAAACATGACCTGGCATTTCTGCATTATTTTCACCATTTCCCCAGTGTATCTAACTAACTGTCTTTAGGGTTTTATTTGGGTATTAACTGAGTTTCCAGTTTAGAGCATAACACTACTTATGGTACATCAGTTGTGTCATTACCATTGATTCACTAATTAAGGTAAAGAGCAATGAAGGCAAGTACTCTTTATAGATATTCTCTTCATTATTACAAGCTAGGCTGGACAGATTCTACTTTGACTTACCATGAAAGTCTTACCATAACTTTTACTTAAGGTGAAAATTGAAACAAAGTCCCAAAAGCCTGAAGAGAGTAAGCATACTGGGTGTGAACTCTTGCTCAAAGAATGCAACTGTTAAGCTACAGCAAGCATTTCTTCTAATGTGGGTGTATGTATTCAATATAGACACTCCAGCAACTGAAGGATAGTGTGGAGACACCCAACCTTGCTTCAGGAGATGCACAAATTAATTTTCAGCATGATGGCTTTGATATTCATGATGTCTGGGTGCAGAAGTTTACCTTGGTGAAAACTAAAGAGAGAATATTCTGTGCAGACTCAACTCTCTTTCTAGCTGAGCAACACAACAGTTGCTCATGCTTTTCATTTTCAAAAGCAGACACTAGAAGGCTGCACTCTGGAGTTGACACATGAGGCCAGACAATGAATAGGAAAGTTAAAATTCTGTCTTATATTTTCATTTTTTTTAAAAAAATGGCATAATTACTCAAGTTCATTTACATTTACACTTTTAATCATATAAATACTTCCCCCATAGAACTGCATAAAACCCCTAAAAATTGGGAGGTGGAAGGAAAAGACATTCACTTCTATCTTTGATATACAGAGAAGACAGAAGCACCATAACACTCCGTGTTTCAGTGTTCTGTTGCCAAGAGCACAAAGAAACTGTCCCCAGGGGCTTGAATATCACAGATTCATGGCACAGCCCAGGAAAAACTGCAAAGCTTCTAATGAGGCTCTGTCCAAACTGGCTTACTTACTCATTTCCCTTCTGACACCACATTGCAAGTTGTTATCGTGAGGTGAGATGCCACTTCTTCTTTTTGCTTTCCTTAAAAGCTGAGACTGAAATCCAGGTGTCACCAACCATCCCACTGTTTATCTAGTTTCCTCTGAAGGTGTGGAGCATCTCCCCAGGATAAATCAGCCCACAGCCTTGCAGTTCTGAGTTGTACTGAACCATAAGTCTTGCCCTTCCCTTCTCCTCTCCTGGTTAGTGTCAGGTGAGTGGGTGGGAGAGCTGGCTCTTAGCTAATCTCTGCTGCAAGAAGTGAATAACCTTTACATCCCTTTATTCAGCTTCTTCATTCTGCGATTCCTTACTAATAGTGACGCCTTTGCCACTAATGCAAGTCAGTACCTAGCTACTGTCTTAGGGATTAGAAAAGTCCCTTAGAATGGCGTCAACTACTGTTGCGAGAAGCATTCTGCTTTACTTCTATGCTGTCGCTAACACAATGGTCACATGAAAGCTAGTATTTCTGTACCTATAATACTGCGATACAACCATTTTGAATTACTGCTAGTTAGCTGTTACCAGCATCACTGCTCACTTTTTTTGATAACCAGATGTGCCAGGTCACTAAGAAATTATGGGAGTTGCTCAGCTGCATGCTACTGAACACTGATCTCCTTGAAGCAACCAGAATAGAACAGATGTAAGAAAAGAAACTACATAGCCTAGAGTCCTTGTTCATAGTGAAAAAGAACACAGAGCAACACATTAATACCTCAGATACTCAGATGACTCAAATTAACAGTAGCAACCAGCCTGCACAAACATTTACCGAAACTGTTAAATATGATAGTAAGATCTACCGGGAGAAAAACACAGAAGAAGAAAGATATGTATATATGCCAAGTTGATGAGAGCTGTTAAGGGTTTTTTTTTGACATTTTAGAAAAATTTTCAAAGGATAACATAATTAGATTATTAAATACACTACAGAACATTCTGCAGGAGTTTTATCTTGTAACAGCTAGTAAGATTAAACCATCAACCTAAGGCATAGTCTTTAATATTAAAAAAAATTATTTGTAGTTTCTATTTCTGAAAAAAAAATCTAAATCACAATTATTTTTTAAAATTATCTCAAGAAATTAAAAAATACGTGTTATTTCTCACCTATAAATGGTATGGGGAACATACACTTCTCTAATTGGGAATTCCAAAATCTCTTTGTGAGGACGATTACGGTTTTCTGGAAATGGCTTCACTGGTAGTAATTCTGGCGTCAGACAATAACCAAGGTTTTCTGGAGCCGGGGAAATCTCCAGCTTAAGTGTTCCTTTAAAAAAAATCACAAAATTTCAGGAAAAAAATATAAAAAAACCCTAATGTATTACACAATAAAAACAAAAACAGTATGTGAGGTTACATAGCAATAGCGTGGAAACAAGAACTGGATCTTCTTGAAGATTGCATGAGAATGAAAGCATAGGTGTAGAAATACACACAGGAAGTAACCTACACATATCCCTACATATCAGGCCAATATATAGCTCTTTATGTTTACCCTGTACAATTTGAAAGGAACAGGAAAGAAAGGAATACTATATGCTACGGGTTGATGTTGTATTATCTTTCATACACAATATAAATTTTCTCTGGGAGACAAATAAAAGATAAAAGGGCTGCTGTCTAAAACAGTACTCCCTCACTCTCCCCACTCAGATTCTGCTCTGATTAATCTCTGCCAAAGTAGACACCACCCACCAGGAAAGCCAAGCCTGCTGTGGTGAGCAGTTATAACAGTTAATACGGGTAACATTTACCCAAGTATAACTAGACTTTCAGTTTAAATTCTCTGCTATGATAAGTGAAAACCATTTGGGGAACTCAGACTTGTCATTTCTGGCAATCAGCTAAAAAGGCAAAATAGCTTTGCACTCAGTTTATATTTTTACAGGTTCTTCTCCAACCCAGAAGAGCTTGAGCTATAATTTATCTAAAAAGAAGAAATAAGCTGGTCAGGTTTCTGACAGTAGCCAAACGCTATCTATGCTTCTCTATTTTGTTAGCTAACACTGACTCAAATACCCAAACAAGATGAAATGTGTACACATTTTAATCTTCCTCTGTAAAATATGACCCATCTAAAATCATTGCAGGGAAATAGCAAAGATCTTAGAAATTTGCTTTAAATCACTATCTTCAAAAAGCTTGAATAATAACAAAAGACATCCAGTAGTTAACTGTAAACTGAGCAGGAAAGCAAATAATTTTAGAATATCAAGCTAAATATAAATCTCCGTACTGTACTGTAAATCTTCTGTACTCATACAGAAAAAAACTCAAAAGAAACTGTCCTCAGGTAAATATTGATGGGAACCCAGGAAGTTACACGATAGCACATACTGTAGACTAAAAACACAAGTTTATTATATATTGGGGTTGGAATTTACAGAACAATTTAGGGGAGAAAAGTATGTATATCTTTTTCCATCCAAAATTAATTACGTACCTGGTAAAGTCTTAACTCTTCTCTGCAAGGAGGACGATCTTTTGAAATCAGCTAAAAATTTGAACAGATCTTCATCACTGAGCCTGTCTCCTTCCTACCAGCAGAAACACAAAAAGCAGCACCTTTATAACAATACTCCATAACACTGAGAGAAGCTTCTGAGTGAATCATGTCCTTCGGTGTCTGAGAGCAGGGAGGGAGAGCAAATTGAAGCTCCTGTGATCCAAGAGGAACGGGTCAAGGATCTGCTTCACCAGCTGGATGCCCACAAGTCTATGGGGCCTGATGGTATCCACCCGAGAGTCCTGAGAGAGCTGGTGGATGTCATTGCCAAACTCTCGTCCATTATCTTTGGGAAGTCTTGGCTCACTGGGGAAGTTCCGCTGGACTGGGGGCTGGCGGATGTTACCCCCATTTACAAAAAAGGGCGTAAGGAGGATCCGGGGAACTACAGGGCTGTCAGTCTGACCTCGGTGACAGGCAAAGTCATGGAACAGGTTATCTTGAGTGCTATTAATGAGCACATACAGGTTAACCGGGTGATCAGGCCCAGTCTACATGGGTTTATGAAAGGCAGGTCTTGCCAATCAAACCTGATCTCCTTCTATGATGGGGTGACCCGCCTGGTTGACGAGGGAAGGGCTGTGGATGTAGTTTTCCTTGACCTCAGTAAAGCCTTTGATACAGTTTCTCATAGTGTTCTGGTGGAGAAACTGGTAACTGCTGGCCTGGATAGGCACACCCTCCTTTGGGCCCAAAGAGTGGTGGTAAATGGGGCTAAATCTGGCTGGAGGACGGTCACCAGTGGGGTTCCCC